GTTCCTTACACTTCTCTTTCTCTCACACCCTTCACCTAAGTTGCCATCACCAAGTCTGGCCAGTTCTATCTTCCAAATACATCCAGAATTCAACCACTTCTCACCACCTGCACTGCCTCAACCCTGGTCTGAGCCACCATCACCTCTCACTTGGATCACTGTAGGAGCCTCCTTCCTGGTCTCACTGCTTCTTCTCTTGCTGCTATATCTCCCTAGACATTTCATTAAGATTATGCCACTCCTCAGCTCCAAATTCTGCAAAATCCACAGTCTTTGAAATGACTCACAAAGCCATACACCATCTGCCTCCCATGTCCTCTCTGGCCCCCTCTCCTACTACTTTCCCCCACACTCACTCTGCTCCAGCTGCACTGGCTGCCTTGTTGTTACTCTAAAATTCCAGCATCTTCTCATCTCAGGGCCTTTGTGCTTGCTGTTCCTTCTGCCTGGAATGCTCTTCCTCCAGATATTCTCATAGTTTGCTCCCTCAGTTCCCTCAGATATTTGCTTGAATGTTACCTTTTTAGTGAGGCCTACCCCACTGCCCTATTTAAAAAAACGCCCTGCTACCAATAATCCCTGTACCTCTTTCTTGCTCTATTTTTCTCCATAATATTTTTTGCCATCTGACATACTATATATTTTACTTATGTATTTTTTTTTATCATTTGTCAGCCCTCATGGAGCTTTCATTATCTTGATGGGAAATAGACAATTAAATATGACAATAAAAATGAATAAATAAAAATAAAAAATAATATGCCAGGATGTGGTAAATGCTATGGGTAAGAAAAAAAAGGACAATTAAGGGATTAGAGAGTGAAGGGGGTAGGAATGGGGATTGCTATATCATATTTCAAGTGTCCGGGGAAGTTCTCACTAATAAGGTGACATTTGAGTGGACATCTGAAGGAAATGAGGCACAAACCATGTCAGTATTCAAAGGACAAACACTGTAGGTAGAGGGAACAGCAAGTGCAAAGGTATGAAGGTGGGATTTCAGGCAAGTCAAACTCATAATATCCTAAATAGAATCATTACATTTTCCTAATCCCATTCCTATATTCCTCACTTCAGTGGATGGCAACACCATCCAGTGCCTTGCCCAAGTTGGAACTGCAGGGCATTGGTCTGACGGGTTGTGTGCCTCTGGCACTATACTGGCTGCCCTGAGGCCAGAAATTGTGTCTAGTTCACCATTATGGGTGTGGAACCAAACACAGGGTCTGGAACAGAGGAGGTGCTCAGAGAGTGACATCACACTTCCTGGTGGATGCTGTCAACTAAGCTTGATATTAGACCAGAAAATGCCTTGATTGACAATGTTCAACAAACATATACTTAGCACTAAGTTTGCGCTAAACTCTCTGCTGGGTGCTGAAGTGATGAACAAAGATGAACAAAGAAACCCTCTACCCTGGGAAACTTGGTCTGGCTCTGCACAATCAAAAGGAATCTGTGTATAAGGAATCATAGACTCATGTGTGTTTATATCAAAACGTGGCTTCAAAGTCATATTACAAGTTCTATAACTTTGAAGATCTGTATTTGAGCCAGAAGGAGTCCGACAATAATAATAATAGTAGTAGCAGCTAACATTTATTGAGAGCTTTGTATGTATCATGCTCTGTGCTAAGCACTTACATGGAATACTCACTCAATTCTTACTAAAACTCTGTGACATGGGTACTATTATTATTCTCATTTTGCAGAAGAGAAAACTGAGACTCAGAGACGTGAAATAACCTGCCCAGGTCACATTGCTTCTAAGTGGTAGAGCCAGCATCCCAGCCCAGGTAGTCTACACTGTACTGCTTGCTTCCCTGGGAAAGGCAAACTTGGCTAGCTGATCCTCAATTTAGCTGCACAGTCATGGTCTTTTATACTTTGGCTCCATATCTATCTTTCCAGCCTAATTTCCAGCTCTTCCTCTCCCCCTATACAAATACTCACCCCAGATGTCCAGAATCTTAGCTCTTGCCCAACCCACCATACTCTCTCACACAGATGGACTTTGACTTGGGCAGGAATCCTTCCCCTACTTTTCTGACTTGACATAATCGTCAAGGCAATGCTCCATGGAACTTTTCTCTGATGCTCCTCCCCACCCTGGAGAGAAGGAATCTCTTCAGCTGCAACACTCCAGATCACCTTTGCCAGACCTCTAGTCTAGCTTTCAGCTCCTCTCAGAACTCCATCCCCAGAGCCCCCCTTTTCCCAGAAGGCTACCACTGTACTTTCTCCTCTCAATGGCTATAACAAGGCCTGGCATAGAGAAGGTTCCTATGGAATATTTGGTGAAGAAAGAAATGAGCATTGTAGACATGTGGACCAATATGTCTACCTGAGTTTATGGAGTTGCTACACTCAGCCTGCACATCTGTTCTCATGGGCTTTTCACTGCAGTCACAAGATGCTGGGCAGCAGAGGGATTATCTCCATTTTGTAGGCTAAGAAACTTAAGACAAGAAAGTATTCTTGCTCCCCACCACCAGCCCCTGTAGTGACCAAACAAGTTGATCATGTGTTAGTCAGCATGTGGAATGGAGGCCTGGAGACCTCCCTCTTTGAGAAGGCATTTTGAGGTACAAGTTTATGCCCACACTTGGTCTTTCCATACATTGTCCCGGGGGAGGAGTGGGCCATACAAACTAGAATCTGTGTCACCCCCCCACACACACACACATCCCTCCTTCCTTAATGCACACATACACAATCTCCTCCTGAGACTTGGAAATATCAGGACCAAGAAGAAGGGCACCCAGCTGGGAGACCTTTTTAACATGTCAAAGACTACTTCCATTTTCCTGAAGTCCTACTTCTTTTGGGCCCAGCCCAATGTCCAATATCCGTCAGTCTCAAAGCCGACTGGTGTGGCATTGTTTGGCAACTGGGCAGAGGACATGGAGGACTAGCTCCTGTGACAGGAGCAGTGCAACAGTGCCCCCTCGCCTCAGGGTTATTTCAATCCCACCACTTGACTATTTTGCACACCTCATCTCTACCCTGGCCCTGTGTTTCCCTGGGCTTCAGATTTGGAAACTGTCTTCTCCAAATTGTAATCTTTAGCCAACATCAGAGAATCAAGGTTCTGGGTGAAATGTGAACATGTGGCAGGCAACCAGAGGCATGAGGCAGTAGGAAAGCCTATGAAGGAGGCGCTGAAAAAAAGACACCTCCACATCAAGTCCAACAAATGAGAATCGGGACTTTGCAAAGCAGGAAAGCACAGCTCCAGGGAAATATTATAGTTCAACCATCCAGATGGGGAAACTGAGGCTAAGGAGGAGAAGAGATTTACCAAATAAAGTTGCACAATGATCCAGCAGCAGTTCCCTCCTCCCTGCCATTTATTTTGACCTGGGACTAGGGTAAGAGGTCTGTTGTTCAAATTGGTGATTTTTGTAGGAGATGTATAGAATGTCATGGAAGGGCATGGAACATCACAGAATATTATAGAAAGTATTGAGTTGAACTGACAGAGCTGGAAGAGATGAAGGAGCTTGACTAATCTTACCCCTTCCTTGTGGAAATGGGGTGATGGACTGGTCCAGGGAGGCAAACGGACTGGCCAAGGTCATACAGCAAGTCTGAGGCAGAGCTGGAGCCAGATCCCAGTCCTAGCAGCTATGTCAGTTCCTGTGCTCCACACATGCAGAGGCAGCAGTCCTCCTCTTACCAGTTTAACAGCTGGATCCTTTCAATGCAGACAAGACCCAGTAGAGCAGCAGAGAACAATCCTTCTGCAATGCAAAAATGGCAGGCATTGTTCTCTAATTCCTCCCTTCTCTTCAACTTTAATCCTCCTCCCACTTTTTTGGACATTCACAGAGTTTTACGGCTGGGCCTTCTGGATATTCTTCAGCTAGTGGTAGAACTGGATTTTTTGTTGCCTCAGCTCACCTGGCCCTGGCAGCCACTTACACCACTTGATGCCCTCGGGCTAGTTAGAGACCCAAGTTCAGGCTGGCCCCCTGCCACATCGTGCCACACAGACACAGCAGCAGGCAAGGCTGGTACAGGCCTCCTCACTCCACTCTTAGCCTTGACCTCTGGTCTGGGCCCAGACAAAATTTTTCTCTCAATATCTAGACTTTTAAGGGAAAGGGAACTGTGCAAAGCCTGGCTCATGATTAAAAGGTTGAAGGATCCTCTAGAGACCTTGGGGATCTCCTCAAGTACCGTGAAAGGTGGGAAATTTGGGTGAGGGTCAAACTACGGAAACAGTTCTCTCCAGAGAAGAAAAGTGAAAGCAGCCCTGGACGAGGAGCAAGGGTTTCTGAATTCCAAATCTGCCCCCGTCGTTGTCGGACTGGGTGACATTGGGGAAGTGCCTGGCCAACCTGGGAAGCAGCAGGCCCTTCCGTAAGAGGTGAGAGTTGACCTCGATGGTCTCTAAGGGCCGTAGTGTGACGGACACGGAGACGCGGACGAAGGTGGGGCGCGGGCACTGCAATTGGCTTTCCTGGCAGGTGAGTCCCTCCTCTGCGCGGCCTGGGGGCGCGCGCCACGGGAACCTATCTGTATGCCTAAGGTTGGGCCGGCGAGGTGCCAAGAGGCTCTACAGTCCCCTAGGTTCCCCAACCTCTCCGCCCCGCCTCTCCCCGCCCGCCTCTCGCCCTGGAATAAACTGCCGGGTAGCAGCCAGGGCGCTGCAGCGCGATTGCACTGTGGCCACGGAAATGGGAACGCATGCAAAATCGAAACCGAGCTCCATGGCTCCGGCGAGCCACACCTGGGCGGGACCTGCCCCGCGAGCTCACGGTATCACCCTGCAGCGACCCGCCCAGCTTGGGGGCGGGAGTCGGGAGTTCCAGCAAGGGGTTCTGCAGCCTCTCTGCCCGCTGCCAACACCACGCCCGGGCTTATTTGCATTTAAAGAGAAACGCACCAAGGAAAACAGTGGGCGGGCGGGGGCACGCCTTCCCACCGTGGCGATTGGGCCACACGCCTGCCAATCAGGGCGCTGACCCCACCCCCGCCCCCGTGGCTGTGGAGTCTGGGGGAGGGGTATGGGGGAGCTGCCCGGAGCCTGGAGAAGGGGAGCCAGCGCAGGAGGTGACTGGAGCCGCGGTAGCGGCGGCAGGAGCAGCAGTGGCTGCAGTCTCAGCCGCGGCAGCCTCATCCAGGGTGGCGCAGCAGACAATAACCGGACTGGAAACGTGACTGGGCCGGGTAAGCGTTGTGCGCAGCCAGGAGCCTCCGCCTGCCCGCTGTCTGGTGCAGTCCCGCGTGCTCAGCTCTAGCTTGCCTGGAGAGGGGTTCTAGGGGCTGGGCCAGTCGGCGTCCGGGCCGCTCTCCGCTCCCCCTTGGAACCCGCTTTGAGTACTGTGTGGTGAGGGGCAAAGCAGAGTCCCCTGAGCGCGGGCGACCGCGGCTAGAGGAGGGGAAGAGGGCGGGCGGGCAGGCAGGCGGGCGGGCTAGCCTGGGCCATGCCTTTGGCTCTCGGGAGAGGTGGAGATGGGGCCCGCACGTGCTGCCCCTCTGTCCCAGAAGGGGAGCCGCCAGCCAGCACCCACAGCGGTGCATTTGTAGGCCGGGAGCCCCGCAGCTTTGTTGTAGCACGTTAGCTGGAACAGCTGTGTTAACGCGAGTACCGCTTACCCCAGCGGCCCTGCTACCGCCCCTCCCCTCCCCTGCGCATCTCCTGCTTCTCCTTCCCCTTTGCGGACGAAGCCAGCGCGCTGGCCTGGCCCCGAGGGACACTACCTTTGGCGTGGATTGGGGTAGCTACATTGTCTCCCTCCTTCCCAGGGAGCTCAGTTGGGCCTGTGGGCTGCCCACTTCCGTTTGGAACCTCGGCCTCGCAGCCCCAACCAGCCGTGCCCCCTGCTCCTGGGCCTCCAGGCACATCTGGCATCTGTCCCCGTGGACAAGAGGGTTGGCATAGGGCTCTTTCTGGATCTTGGGTTAGAGCTGCAAGGCCGCTTTGTCTCCCCCACTCTCCTCGCCTTTTCTCCCCTCGGAGAGCACTAGCTGCGTTTTTCTCTCCAGCCTCCCGTTTAAAAATAGCGATAAGCAAGGTGTTGTGTGTGTGTGTGGGGGGGGGGATTTTCTGTGCCAGAGGCTGAGGGAGCAATTATTGTAATAGGGAACGCACCGTCTGGGTGTGTGTGAGAGCTAGAGCAGCAGCCAAACCCTGCAACTTAGCAGTTTCTTAAAATACCCAGCCCGCGGGGCCGCTGTCATTGTCTGCTGCAGACACCTCTGACACTGGTGACCCCTGGACCGCGGGACTTTGCCTAGGCTCCCCGGTGGTGAGGGGCTGTGCCGGCCAGGCGCACCACAGCCCACGCGCCTGGGCAGCTGCTGGACTGGCCTTGCGGAGCTGGCCTCCCTTTGGCCAGGTTCCTCTTGGTGTGGGCCGTGGGGTCAAGTCGAGCTTTGTCCTACACACAACACCTCCCTCTAGAGGAGGCTCTGCCTACCTGCTGCCTCTGCGTGGGCATGGGCCTGGTGAATGGAGCTGTGCTGTTGGACTCTTTGCCCCACCCCAGGGGATTCCAGCAGAGCCCCCTCCCCCAATGCAGCTCCCTTCATTCCACCCCACCCTCTGCTCAGTAACTGCAAGGCAGTGTGCCTCTGGAAACGGACTCTAGGCCTTTCTGAGGAACAGGAAAGAGGGAATCACTGACGGGCTTTGACAGGCTCTTCTTGGACATTTGACTAACCTCTGAGGGTGGAGAACCCTGTGGTCTGCAGGGCCCAGGCAAAGCTTAGTCACCTTTGAGAGGAGACAATGAGACCCAGTAAATCCCTCACTTGGGGCAAGGCTAGTTGGGGAGCTTTGTAACATCAGCCAGGACTGCAGATACCACACTACAGTCACCTCCCACCTTGACCAGGCCCCAACACAAACGCCCTGCTTGCAGCTAGGCATCTCCAGCCCGGGGTTGGATCTGCCCTCTGCCCTGCCTCAAACCAAAAGCCACCTAACATATCTACCATATATAACTCCTCTCCCCGACGCTGAAACTCACTCACCCTACACTGTCCAAATTCTCTTCTCTCTCATGCCTCAGCTCTGGGCCCACCTTCTTGGTGCCTTTCCTGCCTGTTTCTTGCAACCAGTGATGACCTCTTCTTTCTCAGAGCTCCTCCAGACTGCCTGTGCCCCTTGGGCATTTTGGGGCTTAAATTATAATAGGAGGCAAACTATAATTAACTTTCCCTGCCTTTACTTTGTCTCCCTGATATCATGGATGTCTGGGTTCTCTCAGAATCCCTCAGAGAAGTAAATGAAATCTGGAACTCAGCCACAACCCCCTCAAAGCCTAGCAATGCATAGCAGTTAATGAATGCTCTGGAAGGACTTGCTGTCGTAGTAGAGCTTTCGAGAAGACGTTTACCTCGCCAGCTTGCACTTGTCCTGATCCATATGAAAGTGATTGGAGAAATGATACTTAAGGCTTAGATATTTGAGTATGCCTAATGAGGATGGAGAAGGGGAATGGGTTGCAATTACAACACAAAAATCAATCGTGATATCTCCCTTCAACAACAAGCTCAGGATCTGGACTGCCCAGACTCCAGACTACACATACCTTTCCTTGCTGATTCATGAACCTAGAGAGAAACTACTATGGAGAGAGATGAGAGATCTGTATATGCAGGGGGATCATCCTGAGAAGCTTCCAGAAAGAGGAGTTTGGTTAAGCAAAAGGTAGTGGTGTAAGCAAAATTAGAGATGGGAGGGGGGTGGCTGGCAGGCAGGCTGATTGAGATGACTGAGTCTTTTCTGGTTGACATTGTATGGCTCTAAGGTATAGAGGATGTTGGTACCCAGTTATGGGGGTTCCCAAATGCCAGGCTGTGGAATGGGGATCTGATCTTGGAGGAATGGGGGAAGGAGCCGTCGAAGAATGGGGAATTGGGAGGTTTTGGTTTTTTTGTGTGTGCAAATATGCCACAATAAAAACAGAGTTTTAGAAAGAGTTCTAGAATGGGGTCTTAGAAAGGGATTGGAAGCATGTCATAAGTCAGGCAGGTAAGAGGCCACCTTTGGGTCTGGAAGTAGAGCTGGGGGGCAGGCTATTTCTAGAGGGAAGTTGTATCATATCAGCCTCCCTTCAGCTTTGCAGGGGGTGGGATGGAAAGGAGGGAGCCTGAAGCCTACATACCAATGTATGCTAAATGTCCCTCAAGCCTCTGCTGACCCCTTTCCTCCCAGCTGGACAGACCTTCAGGGAGCACCAGTTTTGACTCCTATGCTTACAGATGGGAATCTTGAGCCCTGGAAAGCAATAGGGACTTGCTTAAGGTCACACAGCAATTAGGGATAAGCTGCTGCCTCCTGTGCAGGCTCTTTCCACGGTATTTCACTGTTTCTAGCAGCCTCGATTCAACACAAATCTCAGTAACCAACTCCTCGTCTCACCTCACCCATTCCTCAAGAGTGAAAGGGTGCTGAGTTAGTTTGGGGGCCCCATCCGGGGAACCCCTCCTTCCCTTTCATGTCTCTTTTGCTTCTTAGTCTTGGTCTGCAACCTGTCCAGAGCTGAAAGTTTAAGGAGGGGAGATAGTTGGAAGAATTTGGCAGTCCAATGAGTCTCACCTAGTATAGTGGAGGTGTTAAAAATTCCTCAAGAACTGTTACATTTATACTCTCAGAAAGAGTGAGAGTGTGTGTGTGTGTGTGTGTGTGTGTGTGTGTGTAGGGGAACAGCCCTGCTCCACTGGTCCAGGGGAATAAGGGAATGAGAGAAATAACAGCAAGCCTGGCAGGTCACCTGCTTGCTTGTAGAACCAAAGAGGGAGAAGGGGCGTTCAGTCCCCTCACTTACAAATAGGCTACTTGAGGCTAGAAGAGGGCATGCCCAGTGTTATTCCATCAGTTCCCCTGCCTCAAATGCTATCCGGGCAGATAGACTTGGTGATAAAGGTAAAGCCCCCAGAGGAGGCATTTCATAGGCTTCCTGTGTCACTCATTCCTGGGTCACCCATCTCACTGCCAGAAAGTTCTTTCTCAGAGCTAATCTGAGCCTCTTGCTATACTTAAACCGTGTGTGTGTGTGCGTGTGTGTGTGTGTGTGTGTGTGTGTGTGTGTGTGTGTGTGTGTTGGGAAGTGGGATTGAGAGCAGCTGGCCACCATTATTACTCTTCTGCTTAACAATCCATTGGCGATTTCATGGTCATTAAACCATCTCTCCCACCCCCAACTTCTGTTCTCTGAATTAAATAATCACAGAGCCTTTTATCTCCTCTCCTTGGTCTTATTTTTCAAACCTGTGTATGTGTAAGTGTATCTCTGACAAAGCAGGCAGGAAAACCAGAACCACTGCAGAGGTGCAGGTGCCAGCTGAGTGAGGGTGCATTGCTCCCCTGCACCTCCCCTTTTGGGATTAGGGGATAATATGGACAATGGAGAAAATGGCCCAAGGGAGCTTGGTGGCGTCAGAGGCAAGCATACTGGTGCTGCAGGGGCCTTTGTGACCCTTTTATCTGCATTTGTTGTTGCAGAGCCTTTATTGCTTTCACTTCCTACAGGTTTTTTAATTTCCCTGCTGGGCTTCCAAGCAGATGCTAACCCCCCTCCTCCATCCAGCACTCCTTAGTCCTCCCTGCTGGGGGCTGCAGCTCTTCTCAGGGGAGAGAGGGCTGGGCCGGGCCAATTCTGGTACCCCTTATTTCTGGACACACAGAAAATATTCATAGGCCAGGCCTAGTGCATTTTAAAAGAGCAAAATGTTGGGTGGGGTTGCAGGGGGAAGCATGAGGAGTGAGACTAGGCTGCAGTGCACCTCTGTCCTGCAGTGGTGGACTGGGCTCACCCAGCTAGGAACCCAGGCTTCCCAGCAAAGCCTAGGACCTCCCAAATCAATGCCCCCACCATGTCTCCTGACTCAGCAGCCACTAGAAAACTGGGCACAGGACAACCCTTCCCCTAGCTTCTTATGCAACCTGGGGCAAGCAGACTCTCTGGTCCAATCTCCCATTTCTAGACGGGGAAACTGAGGCTCAGAACAGGGAAGGGATTTGCCCAAGGTTACACAGGAGCACAAAGCTCCTGGCCCTCAATTCAAGGATTCCTCTTCTAAGTACACTGATCTTAATCCCTTTCCAAGCCTCGATTTTCTTACCTGGCCTCTCACATAGGGTGTGCTCTGTATAGGGGAGTGGATACATAGGTAAGTCAGGGGTCTCCTTTGTTCACTTGGCCCAGCTGTTCCTCTGC